GCCCCACGTGGGGCTCAAAGCTGGCTCTGGCCCAGGAAAGGCAGGGAGATCCCTGGAGAGTCAGAAGAATGAGAGAGGCTCTGGGATCACTGCTTCTATCCAGTTACTGCCCTCAGCACCCACCATTGCAGCGCTGGGAACCCCGGAAGGAAGAAGAACCTACTTACCACTCCCCTAAAAGAATCCACAGACCCAATCTCCACAACATGTTTACTGGCAACATCCTCAGCCCGGCTCCTGTTTGAGGAGGAGCCTGGCACAGGCTTCTTCTGAACATGCCACCTCATGCGCTCCCATCCCACGTGCTCGTCACAAGCCTGGCAGACAACCTGGATCCTGCCATGCCCTCTATCGAACCAATCACCAGGTTCTGTCAGTTCTGCACTTGCCCCTGGCACCTGCCCCTCAAGGATGGTCCTGCTCTCTCTACTCACGCAACATCTGCCCTGGGTCTCTCCTGGATTCTGCTCCTGACTCCTCCCATCCACTGAAGCCAGAGTCCTCTTCTCCTGAGTAATTACTCCCCAACATGGCAGGGGGAGCCCTGTCCATCCAATGCACAGGCTCAGCTGTCCCTCTTCTCCACTCCCTTACGGCTCCTTCCCAACCTCTGCACCCTGCCAAGGGTCTGTGCGAGTACATGACTTACTCCCTTAAGGCTCGTTCCCAACCTCTGCACCCTGCCAAGGGTCTGTGCGAGTACATGCCTTCTGGGGAGAAAGGGAGGGTCCTTTGAGTGGGGACTGTCAGGAGTTGGGGCTATTAGAGATCTTTGTCCAGTTGTCCCCTCATTGAACTAGAGTGGCCCACTCGGTGACACTATAGGGGCCAACATGGAGAAGTGGGTTGGCTCTGGGCAGGTGAGATCCCTTGGTTTCCAGTTAAAAGCTAATTCTCACCCTAGCAGTGCTCCAGGGTAAATAAGCATGGGGTCGGGGAGGGAGGCTTGCGTCATGTCTGACTTCTTGGGAATTATCCTCTCCTGCCCCCACACTCAAGCAACTGTGGGTGATGGACCACATGTCTGCTGTCTACAGAGGAAGTTCTGATTTCCTCTGCCCTGGCATGAGGTGGAGGACACTGCCTGGCACACAGAATAAGCTGTTACTTGCATCACCGCTAGTCTCTGGGGACCCACCACTTTCAGAGCTTTGCCATTTGCCAATTGCAGGAAGGCAAAGCATTACCCATAGGAATTTATACTGTAGACAAGAACCCAAAGGAGCTCTAGTCTCAGACTCTGCCTGGTGTACAGAGTCAGCCCAGGAGAAAAACACAGCTTTCAAGGCTTTACAGGACGTGTTGACTCACCTTACAGGTAGTGAGTTCCCTTACGGTGGGAAGCATACCAGTCACAGTTTAGAGCAGGGTTGGTAAACATTTTATGTAAAAGGGTAGGTAGAAAATATTAGGGTCTGCAGACCACATATGGCCTCTGTTGCTTCCTTTTC